CTTCATCAGCCTCCCCCACCATGGGGCCAGATAGAACTACTGGTATCTTAAGAAGTCATGGGATTAAAATCAAGTCTCCTTACAGCAGTCCTCCCTCCCTCTTGTCACTGCCCTCCTTCTGACTAGCCCTCTGACTGGCCCTGCTATCTCAGTTATGGCTTGTTCAGGGTGATTTTTTTGGGAGGTGGTGGTGGTGATGTAGTTTGGAGTATATACCTAGCTAGCCCAGCCTGGAGTGTGGGAAGGAGAAGTCTAGAAAGCTAGCCTCTTTTAAAATAGAAAAAAATAAAGGGCTCTATTTAATAGGTGCCCACATGCAACTAGCAAGCAGCAGTGCTGTCAGTGTCAGTACACACATGCATGTATACACAGGGAGGGAGGAAGAACTATTTGGAAAATACTCTTCCATGCAAGTACAGTAAGTAGGCTTTATTTGAGGGAAGGTTCTTCTTGGAGGAGAACAATGCTCTTTCACTATAAAAGGGGCCTGATTTTAAAAGTTTTCTTTTACTAACTAAAACTACCCTATTACCTTGAATAAAGGAAACTAACACCCCCCCCCCCAAATAAAATGGGCTTGGGTGAAGAGAGGTTGCCGTGGAGGCTGTCAGTTGATCATATATATAGTTTCAGAACTGCTGCTTCTCAGACAACAAGGGTTTCCTGTACCCCAGGAAACAAAGGCACCATAGCACAATAACTACACTTTGTTACAGGACCCTAGGCATGAATGAACTGTTAGCAACTTAGGTTTCCTGAGTGCCCATCTACAAACTCATGGATGTTCTTTACAAGCATTGCTCCTGCACACTTTTGCACTGTCTCACAAACAATTTCTTCAGATTCTGTCTCACAAAATCAGTGTGCATAAACCATGGTTAGTTACACTATGGCTTAATGCAGTGTGTGAATCTAATCCATATATCTAGCCAGTGGGTAGACTACTCTATGGGTTTGCATATTGGGCTAAATCATGGTTTCTTTGATCACAATTTATTGAATATACACTGGTTGAGGGCCTGTTTTGCTTGAACTCAAATAATAATCAAATACAAAAAATGCAGGTGTCCCTTTGATATTTTTCAAATGCTGTTAAGCTATATGACTTAAATTAACAGATTAACCACAATAAATGTTTTTGAACTTTGCAATTTAAGGGACATTTATATTTGTAATACAATTGTTTGTATTTGTTGAGAAATTCTTACAAACGTATATTTAGTAATGAATGTTTATGCTAAAGACATCTGAAAAAGACACCTATGAGTTCCCAGTTCCATTTATGGCTGACTACTTTCCTCCTTGTTTAGGATGTGCAAAATAATTGGGACTTGCTTTCAGGAATTATCTACATCTGATGTTACCAAGATAACAGAAATGTGAAATTCTTTGCTCAAGTATTTCTTGTACCTGAAAGAAAAGACTAGGTTATCTCCTAAATAATTTACCTTTAAAAGGTGTGGGGTCCCTTAGGCTCACTAAGAATGCAGTAATGCAGATGATTTTGTTTGTTTGTTTAAACTTCCTTGCAGGGAGAAATCTTGAATTCACAATCATCTTCCTTTTGGGTAAACAATGCTCCAGTTAGTAATTGTCTGTACAAATGCGTAGAAATAGTGGGATTTTATGCAATTTCTCTACATCTAAATATCTGAGCAACATAGTATGAGGGAACAACTTTACCAGTTTTCCCAAGTTTTAGAGGATTTGAGAGTAGGAGGGTTCACTACATGTTGCCTTTTAGAAAGAGTTCTACACATAGATCTAGTGTGATCATATTGCCTTGTGTGCAAAAAATAGAAAAAAATCCTGCTTTTGATTATGATAAGCCTATGAGGATGACAAATTATGTATCGGGTTATTGGTTCATCAAGGTACATGAATATAACCATTATGACTTCATGAATCATGATTAAACAAACTTAGTATTTTTCTTTCAGCAAATCCTCTGAAACCTAGTAAGGCAGCAGGAACATTCCTTGATTAACAACCACAATAGGGACTGGAAAATTGGTAATTAAGTGGGGCAGTTGTTAAGTGGGGCAGTCGTTAAGCATGTGACCAGACCTGATTATACGACCATTTTTATAATGTCGTTAAGTGAATCACAGCGGTCATTAAGTGGATCATGTGGTCGTTAAGCAAATCCAGCTTCCCCAATGGATGTTTTTGCTGGAGTTTGCTTAACAACTACATGATTCACTTAATGTATGTGATTCACTTAATGAGCATCATAAAAAGATTGCAAATTGTGATCATGTGACTGCAGGGGTGCTGCAACAGTTTGCAATGGTTGTAAGTGCGAGTACAGGCTGTAAATAGTTTTTTCTGAGGCCATTGTAACTTTGAGCTGTCATTAACTGAACAGTCATTAAGCAAGGACTACCTATAATATAAACACTTGGAAGAAGTGTGAATCACTATCACTTCTGCCATAGATACTCAGGCTTTGCAAAATGAAAAGCTCATCTCACTCTTCTCTACACATTCCCCCCATGTAGGACAATGAGAGGGCTATCTCACTTTTCTTAATATAAAATGAATTTCCCCTTGAAATTCTTTCTGTTAAGTGGATGAGGGCATGGATGTCCTGCAGGGTAAAATACGTATGGCATATTGGCAGCTGTATTTGTGGAAGGCCATAGATGTAACTGTCATTGTACATTAGCAATTGAACATGCTGGTAATCTTAATAGAAACAGTGGTCTTCACAGACCAGTATAAGTAAACAACTTTTATGATCTAATAATGCCATTAGCAGGAAACTACCAATTCCCAAGAGTGCACCAAACAGAGCATGCTGCCCCATGGGAAACAGTTAATATTAGATACTCTATCCTGTGTGCTTGATTTCCAATAACAAAGTATGACTGGTGAGATGCGTGCTGCAGATTCTTCACTGAAGGCATCAAATGGCTCTTGATTGGGTTCACATATTTTATGGTCATTTTCACGAAAAGATCCTGAAATCTTTTGTTCAGCTTGATTCCATACAGCATGGATATAGGAGTTAATTATTAGAGGAAGGGTTTTATATTATAATTATTTTAAATTAAAGTAATTAGGTATAAGATTACTTAACAGATCCAGTTAAGTTATAAACAACTGATTTATACTCATATTTTGTACCTATATTCTAAGCTGGGTATTATTCTGACATTTCTCATTAAAGTAGACCTGTTTCAGTCGGGTTTCACTCCAGGATACAGTATAGAGACTCACTGGTTGTGCTCGTGGATAATCTCTGGCGGAGCCTGGTTGTGGGTAGTATACCCATTCTTGCACTCCTTGATTTCTCAGCAGCTTTTGATACTGTCAGTCATGGTATCCTGCACAGGTTAGGAGTTGGGGGTCACTGGTGGATCTTCTCCTTTCTCTGCGACTGGTTCCAGTTTATGTTGACAGGGAGGACAGATCGCACTCTTGGCCCCTCATTTGTGGGGTGCCTCGGGGATTGATGATCTCTCCCTTTCTGTTTAATATTTCTGAAACATCTGGGTGAAGTCATCTATCAGTTTGGGGTTCAATATCATCAATCTGTTAGTGATACCCAATTACCCAGGCCAGCCAAGTGACACTGTTATTGTCCTGTCTGAGTACCTGAAGGCTGTGTGGGTTTCAATGCGGAGAAACAGACTCTTGTTCAATCCTGCAAAGACCAAATGGCTGTGGATAGTGCTCCCTGGATCTGGTGATTTTCTATCTTTAGTCTTGAATGGGATTGCACTTCCCCATTCAAGACTGGTGTGCAATCTGCACCTGTTCCTGGATCAGAAGGCCCTTAAGACAGTCACTCATGCCCTCGTCACTTTGCGGTTCAGCACTTGCAATGCACTCCATATAGGGCTGCCCTTGAAGACTATTCAGAAGCTGCAGCTGATCTACAGTGCAGCAACATGGGCAGCGATGGGCATGTCTTGGTATGCCAATGGGTTCTTACTGCTCCACAAGTTGCACTGGTTGCCAGTGAGCTTCTGGGTGCAATTCAGAGTGTGAGGAGAGAGACTGCATAGTGGAATTGGAAATAGTATGAGGGATGTAGTTTGTTACATACAGAATGCAGAAAAAAAGTCAGCTGAGAGACAACCTGATCAAGATGTATAAAATCATGTATAGTGTGAAAGAAGTAGGCAGGGAGAAATTCTTCACACTGTCTCAAAGCCTTAGGACTAAGGGACATCCAGTGAAACTAATTGAAGGTTGAACTAATCAAATTCAGTTGAATTTTTTTTTTCCAATCTGTTCAATTGTCTCTGATTCTCAGAGGCTTCCTGGACAAGTCCCTGCAGTTTTCTTGGCAAGGTTTTTCAGAAGTGGTTTGCCCTTGCCTCCTTCCCAGGGCTGAGAGAGAGAGTGCCTGGCCCAAGGTCACCCAGCTGGCTTTGTGCCTAAGCAGGACTAGAACTCATGATCTCCTGGTTTCTAGCCTGATGCCTTAACCACTACACCAATGGCTCTCAGTTGTACTAATTGAAACTAATTGAAAGGAGATTTGGAAGGAGCCAAGAAAAAGAAAGTACTTCATACTGTGTATAATTAACCTATGGTATTCATTACCACAAAACATGGTATTGACCACTAACCTGGATGACTTTAAAAGGGGATTGGATAGATTCATGGAAGACAGGTTAGTCAAAAGCTAGTAATCTTGAAGACTCAGTGTTCTCTCTGGGTTGGGGCAGTGTGATTTCAAATACCAGTTTTAGGTGAACACTGGTGGGATAAAAGTAATTCCCTGTCTCCTGCTTGAGAGCACCCCCTGTTGTTATGCTCATATGTAAAGTATCCAATCTACATGGCTTATTAAAATTATGAAAACTGGCTGGTGACTTTGGGCTTGTCATTCTCTCTCAGCCTAACCCACCTCACAAGGTTGTTGTGGGGAAAATAGGAGGCAAGAGTATTAAGTATGTTTGCTGCCTTGAGTTATATATAAAAAAGGTGAGATGATGATGATGATAATGATAATGATGATTCTGATGTGTCTCTTTTTCTTTTAGCCATGTCTCAGGCTGTACAGACAAATGGAACACAACCATTGAGCAAAACGTGGGAACTCAGCTTATATGAACTTCAAAGAACACCTCAGGTATTGTAGTTGCTTTCTTCCCCATCTTTGCATAAGTTTGTAGTGATACTGGTTATATAGTTGTACTGTTTTAGCGTGAATGTGATCTTCCCCAAATAATTCGTACCAGAAGAAATTAGGTAATAAGAAAAGTAATGAAATGATAAGAGTATTTAAAAAATGTAGCATTTGTAAATAATTTCAATGAGGCAAGGAAATAATTGCTTGAGAACACTATTTTGATCATTAGGAAGCTATAACAGATGGCCTGGAGATAGTGGTGTCACCCCGAAGTCTCCACAGTGAGCTGATGTGTCCCATTTGTTTGGATATGCTGAAAAATACCATGACTACTAAGGAATGTCTACATCGATTTTGTGCTGATTGTATCATCACAGCCCTCAGAAGTGGGTAAGTTGGTATATGAAAAAAAAACACTGTACTGGGATTGAGTAATAGTTCTGAGTAGTACTTTGGAATTCTGGTCATACTGTAAACCAGTGACAGAAAACTTTTTTTGGCGTTGGAGGCCACGTGGGATACAGCCAATGATGCATAAATGTCTCAGGTATGGATAAGGCCACTGCTTTTGGTCCCATGTTGGAGTATGTGAATTGGGGGTGGAATTGTTAAGAGTAATTATAACATCCATTTGTTTCTTATTTGAGCAAGAAAGGTAGGTGGATGGGAGAGGCAAAAAAAGCAGATTGCTGCCAAATTTTGATGATGCATGGGACTATGGTCTGCTTGTTGCCTGTAACAGCTCTGCCACAAAGAAACTACCAAAAATACTTTTGCCTTCCTTCTCCTCTGAAGTTGTCTCTTGTCACCTATATGGCTGGCCAGAGTCAAGACCCAAAGAAGGTTATAAAGAATTTGCAGTCAGGATGATATGAGTATTTTTGCCATCCCACTTAATCTGATCCAAGGTCATCCAGAGTACTTCATATCCAAGTAGGGATTTCAATTTGGAGTTCAAATCAGAAACCGTGTCCAGTATATTACACTGACTCCAAGCAACCGCTTACTTTTTTTAGCCTTTGAAAAAGGGGATGCATAAAGAATGCTAAGATCTTTTTACTGTTAAGCTGTCACCAAATCCCCAAACAATATACAGGAGTAAGAGCAGTGAGAGTCAGTGAGCATTGGCCAAATCATTCCATTGAATTCAGTACTGCCTCATGCTTTAACTGCTATGTCTTTGTCAATTATGTCCAATCCATTTAATGTCAGTAATGGAGTGTAACAAATCTGTTATTAAGGATTTGGATTCTGAGATGTGGAAAACTAACAAGTGACTGTTGCCAGTCTGACAAGGGATAGTTAGGTATTTCAAAAAGCAACTGCCAAGGTGTGTGAACAATTCAATAAGTATACATTCTCATGGAATAAGGTGAGAGCATATTTTTGGATTTTTTTTTCTTATTCTCAGAAACAAAGAATGCCCTACTTGTCGTAAAAAGCTTGTTTCTAAAAGATCATTGAGACCAGATCCAAACTTCGATGCCCTCATCAGTAAAATTTACCCAAGTCGTGATGAATATGAGGCTCACCAGGAGAGAGTTTTAGCAAGGATCAGCAAGCACAATAATCAGCAAGCTTTGAGCCACAGCATTGAGGAGGGTCTGAAAATCCAGGCCTTGAACAGGTAAAAAATTATATGTAGTGAAAAGTTGGACATAGAGAGTTCTCTAGTTCAGTGGTAGTATGCATGCTTATTTGTGTGAAGACCCATTTCCATCTGCAGATCACAGCACAGAAAGTTAGAAGGATTAGAAAGAAAATATTGCCTATCTGAAGGTTAGATCATGGCTGCTATTCAGAAAACACATTACTGGACTGAGTAGACCAGTGTTCTGAATCTGTATTAGGTAGTGTCAAGTGTATGTTTATTTGAAATAAATGATAGGCTTGCATTTTGAAATAAATTCCTCTTTCTTTTTCTTTCTAATTTGAAAACTGTGGATCATGCAAAATTGACCACAACAGCCTAAATGCCAGTGCTTCATTGTATCCAGCAACATTGCAGCTAATCATATCCTAATATTTGTTCAAAACCTATATTTAAAATGGCATATTTTCTGTATAATATGTATACATTTGTAATATTATGCAAATTGTCTTGCAAAACGGACTTGCTCATGACAGAAGAAAAATGGAATTCAGTGTATCTATCTGTTTTAATACTACAGAATTTATTTGCCCATTACTCACATTCAGTACAATCTCCTTGAATGCAATGAAACATTGCATTTTTCCTACCATAAAACTGATGGCTTATATCCATGGAAAAAGAGAGCTCTATTAGATATTTATTTTTCACAGCCCTCTTCTAAATGTGAAAAATTGTTTTATTCTCTCCATATATTCTTTAGAATTATCATTAGTCCATATTTTCATTTTTCTTTGTACTGAATTGAAAAGTACCCTCTTTATGAGGAAAATACTTCAGTTCCTTAATCATTTAAGGTGACATGTTTTGAATCTTGGCCAGTTTGTCTTTAAGTGTAGCATATGCTGTTGTATCCCTGAGATCTATATCTTTTAATAAACTTGCACAAGTAAAAATTTAAAAAAAGCAGGCAATAGTCTTAACATAATGTCTTAACAGGACTGAATTGTATATGCTATCTTGGCATCAGGTTTGTTCACTTGTGCCTTTCTACATTTTGAGTTGCCTTACTGCTCCTCCCCCCAAATATTTTATAATTTGGAGGTTTAGCTTTGATATAATTTTAGTTCAGCTGAAAGCCGTTGATTCATAAGAGAAAATTTCACAACTGTACATCCATAATGGGACACATTGTTATTACATTTCAGAACTGACGTCAAAATAGCAGTAGAACTAGAATGCTGGATACTGTGTAAGAGTTTGGACAGTTTTTTATATTATATAACATAGTATCTGTCTTATACAGGCTAGATAGAAGCCTTGAAATCTTATTAAAGTGCCAGATTTTTTTTGTACATTGGATATGTGTATTTAACGAAAAAATAAGAATGATATGGATTGGACAAATGAAGTTGCTATCTGATGCAAAGACTCTGAAAGTGACTGACTGAAGAACTTGGATTATTTCTTGATTGTGCTAACTAGGTTACAGAGAGGCAAGAAGCAACAGATAGAGAATGGCAGTGGAGCAGAAGACAATGGTGATAGTTCGCATTGTAGTAATGCTTCAACCCACAGTAATCAGGAGGCTGGACCAAGTAACAAAAGGACCAAAACATCTGATGATTCTGGGCTTGAACTGGACAATAACAATACAACAGTTGCCATAGACCCAGTATTGGATGGTGCAAGTGAAATAGAATTAGTTTTCAGACCCCATCCTACGCTTATGGAAAATGATGACAGTGCACAGACAAGGTAAGCACTGGTTCATTTTTATTTTAGAAGGTATATTGAATATGGTAGTACATTAATCCTGTTGAATATTGTGAGCTCTGTATGACTTCATGTAGAATAAACAATAGAAAATACTGGATTGCTGCCCTTTACATATCAGCAGGATTGTTTTCCTTGCAAGCCTTTTAATATTTGTTAGTCTTACTTCTTGTACTGGTACATACATAAACTATCTTTGCTTTTGTACAGATATATTAAGACCTCGGGCAATGCCACTGTTGATCACTTGTCCAAGTACCTAGCTGTGAGACTAGCCTTAGAAGAACTTCGGAGCAAAGGAGAGTCTAATCAGATGAATCTTGAAACAGCCAGCGAGAAGCAGTACACAATTTATATTGCTACAGCTAATGGCCAATTCACCGTGAGTAGCTGTTTGAGCAAAAATGTAATTGGGAAAAGGCATTGCTTCGAAATAAATTTGAATCCTGTTCAGAATTTAATTATGCCCATGGCTAAACATGCAGAGCGGGGAACCTTATCTCCAGTCATTTGTACTGTCCCCAATATCCACATACATGGACGCCTGGCAAACATGGATGTCAGAAGAAATGCCTGCGCCCAGCTAATATATAGGAGTGTTCCTTTGCTAATATTCATGTGTTATCTGTGGGAGTGCTGTTGGGATGCATGATGTTGAAGATGTACTTAAAAGGTACAATCTATAAACCCAAGTTTAGCCCTCTGCATGGAAAATTTCTGAAAAGGACTTTTATATGTTTAATTTCATCTGTGGTAATGTAGCTATTTATATATGCATTAGAATGTGAACTAACAGGAAAAAAAAGCACACTTGTTGCTAAAAAGAGGTGAGGAAAATCTAGTTTCAGACCACTGTTGATTTGTTTCTGAGCTTCTCCTGTTCATCTCCCTTTCTTATACAATCTTAACAGAATCTCTGACATGGATTACTTATTCCCTACCATGAAATGTAAATGTGAAGGAAGGGCATTTCATAAATATAATACAAACAACTATATGTGTTATTGTACATTAAATTCTAACCATTTTTATCTATTGCATAAGCCCTTGCAGAGAACAGTCCTGTTTCAACAGAAGCATGGAGTACAGTCCTGAGAAAAAGAGCAGTATGTGTATTCTTGTGGGATGGGGGAGGAAAGGAAGTGAGGAATGATGAGAGATTGACCATTAACAAAACAGAAACATTACGGGGGGTGGTGGTGGTTGGGCGGTAATTCACTGGTCTATGAATACTAGAAATGGCAATGGGATTATTTCAATCTCTTAAAATACCCTTGTCGCTGGGCCCAAGGTGGTTATCCTTGAACAAAGGAATTAGAAACACACATTTCATCCTGAAACAGTTGAACCAAAAGGTTTAACACCAATTCTCTCAGAATAAATTGAGACTATGATTTCTTATAATAGTTTTTTATACTAGTTTATCAGTGCAAGATTGTGTCATGCTTAGCTACTGCTTTGTTAATGGTCACTCTCTTGCCTCTCCATTCTCTTCTCACTATTCCCTCTTCCCTTTCTGTCTCCTGTGACAGCTATGTGCAGATTTAATGCTTGCTGTCTGGACTCCATGCATCTGATGAAGTGGACTGCAGAAAAGCTTATATCATAACAAATTGATTAGTCTTTAAGATGCCAGAAAACTCTCTTTGTTTCTGCTGCAGAAAACTAACATGGCTAACCTATGGAAATTCATATAAACATAGTAGTGAACATGCTAGAAAACTTCTATTTCTGTTTCTGGAATCCTGATCTCTTACATGTTGTATAAAAAGGATGAAAGTCCTCTTTATTTTGGACAAGACTTAAATATACAATGTGCTTCTTTCAACATCCCAGAAACCAATGGGAAGTTAATGGTGTTTCTACTGTGCCTAAAAATGAGTCTATATTCCCTACAACATATTTTTGTTATTATATGCTCCTATAATTTGTGATCTTCAGTACACTGAGCACTAATTCTGAAAAATATATGGATGTGTGGATATAGCAGGCCAAAGTCAGCAGGGAGCTGCAGCCAGTCTCAGCTCTCCAATAAAGTCTAGTTGTATGATATATTTATTTGTTACTTGAACTGTGTACTTAATATAAATTACAGTGGCTCTCATTTTAGATGTGAAAAATTATAAAGTAGAATGAACTAAATCAGAACTAGCTTCGCATATGTAAGGTATCAATCTTAAATGATTGGAGACTTGTATTATAAAACTTAGATTTATAAGATCTGTATTAAACTTAATCATCTGGTCTAGATCTAGTTGAAAGGGGCTACATGACATGCTGAGTAGGTTTGTGCATTGTTAGGGGCAGATAATCTTTTGGGCCAGACCTGCGCTTAGTAAATATACATAAGTATAAATATTATTTATGGGCAAAGACCATGTGTCATACATAATCAGGAAGGAACCAAAGAAAATGAAGAGGAAAAAAAATCAGTCAATTAAAATAAGCTAAATAATCTTTAACTTATCTTAAAAACAATAAGACACAAGAAGAGAAAAAAGAAAAATACCCTGTAAAATAATCCCCAAATGGCAATAGCTACGGAACATATGTTAGCAACTGTACTAGAGATTTCTGGAGACAAATTAACTAGTAAGATTAGAGTCCCACCTACTTAGGTGATTGGATAAGGGGGGCATTATTAAATCTGTGCCAAGATGCAATAATACAGTGCATTCGGAAAGTATTCAGACCCCCTTCACTTTTTTCAATTTTGTTATGTTGCAGCCTGGTACTACAATCAAATTCATTTTTTTCCTCATTAATCTACACTCAGTACCCCATAATGACAAAGTGAAAACAGAATTTTAGAAATGTCTGTAAATTTATTAAAAAGAAAAAACTGAAATATCTGCTGCACCAGTTCCTCCAAGTTCCTTGCTTGAGAGTTGAAGTGCCGCAAGATTTTAAATAGGGCAGTGACTGCTCCTCTTTCAATAACAAATTAAAAGGTTTCTTTAGCAAGTAGATTTTTTAAAGGAAAATCTTAGAAGTAATTTAATTTTAAAGACACTTTGGCACTTTCCTTTAAGGTGACAATAACTGACTTTATAATGTTATCAAAGTGCTTATATCTGTAAGCATAGCTGATTTGGAACTGGGCTATCTTTTCACTTTTAATAACAATGGTCTAACACCAAAATCTTGGAAGATGGGGTTTGAAAGAACACCAACCCTGATAAAGACCTAGGGGATAGTTGAACATCTAAACCAGGTCTGCAGAACTCATAGAGGGGAAGGGGCCAGATTAATACCTTAAAAATAATTGCAGACCACAGAGGAATAGCTGGCATGCCAATCAGCTGTTCAATGGCTAGCAGCAGTGACGGAGCTAGCAGTGTCTGTGAGGTATTGGAGGCACTTGGCAGTGTGTTTTTCAGGCTGCAAGTGGCTATGAAAACACAGGCAGCCATGGCAGATCCTTCCTGATGGCAGCATTTGGTGGCAGTGGATGGATTATTTTTCAAAAAATGCCAGCGAGTCGCACAAGGCTGCTTGGTGAACTGCGTGTTGTGCAGGCCTGATATAAACTTTAATGACTTTGCTGACATCACTTGTCCTTTGAAGCCATTCCAGCTTTTCCAAATCAACCTGGGATTTTTGGCAATGTAAAACTGGTTTGGAGAGAAAATGATTGCTTTTCAAGTGGATGGACTTCCTTTTTATTGTTATTATTTTGACAAAAATAATTAATTGTGCATGTTGAAGTATAAAAGAATGTACCTCTTGTATCTGAGTATGGGGATCTTCTTCCCACTTAATCATCCAATGTCCATTTCTTTGTTGTGATACAACTTAGTATCCTTTCTTTTGTTGTCATTTATCTCACCTTTATTTTTTCTTTAACAACAATAGCAAGAACAATACTGTTGAAGCAAATCTAATTTAGTGATAATAGGTCACTTTTGAAAGATTGAAGTCACAGTATCTACTGTCAAGATGTACTGTTTTGCCATAAAATCAACTAAAATTGTTTCTGCTGTGGGGCTTTTGGATATAACCTCATGAGTTGATAAATTTGCCATCTGACAAATTTCATTGCTGAGAGCTCATTCCCTTGCTTTAGTAAACCTGGCTCCAGTGATTTAAGGGAGAATGTCCTCAAGCCCAGCTGGCTCAAGCAGTTTTAATCCTATTTATTATTTAAAGAAAATGGATCAGTATCAAGTACAATTGTAAACTCTTTGACTGATAAGAGATCCTTAGTCTTCACATTTTTAGATGCTTTCCAAGAATCTGCTTTTCAGAACTTGTTCTTGATAATTTCTTATTCTTTCCCATCTTTTACTCATTTATCATAAACAAAAAAAGTAGAGGACATAAGTACAGAAAAGATACAGGTGATAAAATTTCTATATGTCCAATAAAAATATTTAACATCTTAAAATAATGTATAACAAATATTGTTAGTCAGAACATATTCTGCTTTTAGCCTAGTTGCCATCCATTTCTCTCTCTCTCTCTCTCTCTCTCTCTCTCTCTCTCTCTCTCACTCTCACACACACACACACACACACACACACACTTTGTTCTCAGATGGCCATAGGTATCCTGTAATATCACCTAATTGGGGCTGAATACTTTTGGCATCTGGGAGGCTTCTAAAATGCAAAATAGTTGTACTAAATCATGTTGGGCTATTTTGCATCTTTTTAGGCAAAATATAGAACTGCTTCCTGAAAATTTAGGTTTTTCCCCCCCTGAATTTCAGCACAGGAACTTAGGATATTTTGGTGGCTGAATACATCATATGGGGTGAAGATTGGCTACTCCTGTCCTCAGCTTTGATTTACAAATCAAAGCATACCAAGCAATTATTGTGTGTAAAAAATCTCATTTATTTTTTAAAATGTATCAGTCTAAAACAAACAACATTATGGATTAGTACAATATGTGAACCCAGACATAAAACGGACTGTCTTGTTCTGCATCATTGTACAGGTTACAATGGCAGTTGGGACCAGAATTGCTGTCACTAGGTGATACAGTTGTAAAGCATGACATCATGTGACCATGTCACTTTGCAACGGCAATTTTGTCAGTCCTGGTTGCCACTAAGTGAGGACCACACGGGTTGTTGAGCAAGGACCTCATGTGATTGCGACTTCTGACTTCCTCTGGCTTCCCCATTGGCTTTGCTTGTGGGAAGCCAGCGGGGAACATCAGAAATCATGATCACATGACCGTAGGGATGCTGCGATGGCCAGAACGCCAAAGACCAATTATAAATACCATTTGTTCAGTGCCATCGTAACTTTGAATGGTTGCTGAACAAATGGTCATAACCCAAGGACTACCTGTAAACTGGTTTGCCCTCAGGTTGGTAGACATAAGCCATTGCAGTTCATATTCATTTTTTTCAGTTTCGATTATTCCCATGTTTTTGCCCATGTAACAGAAAGATGGTAAGCTTTCAGAAGTTGATACAGTAGCTCAAATTTTGATACACGTTCCTGTGTTGATGCATTTCATTTTTTAGGAAGAATGTTCTTTTGCTTTTGCTGCTATAGCAGCCCAAGAAGTGAGAATACCAGAGTTCATATGCTGATATTAATTGCTGTCATCGTGTTCTATTTATTGACTGCCACACCATGTAATTGCCTTCCTTTGATTTCATTCTGTGCTCTTAACAAGCAACCAGTATTATTGCCCTTAATATTGCTAATAAAGGGGAACATGTTTGATGGGGGAAATGTAAATATTTTCTAATTGTGATTGAAAAGGTGTTCTTGATGAAGGTTTCAGCATGAAAGGTATTGGACAAAAATGCAGACACAGCTAAAAAGCTTTTGTTTGTTATTACTTAAACCCAAACATTTAAATGTTGACAGATTTCTTCAAAATGTTAAATGTTTGAAGATCTAAAGATGTTCACTCTTTACTATGTCCAGTATTCAAAGATCAGAAGTGGTATAATATTTCTTAATTTCAGCTTACAAAGCTGGAGTGGTTTTTGACATTGCTGTATTTTCAACAGAGTAGCTTTATTTTTCTTAGTGGTGGCTTGCAGACATTTCAAGTGTACATTTTTTTTAACTAAAACACTATGCTCTATTTTGCAATGGGAAGGATAGATTTAAAAACAGATCTGTAGACTTTTCTATGGAAATACACTGCAAAGCCCTCATTTGGTCTGCAGCTGCTTTTCCTTTGGAACTGAAAAGTACCTGGTTTATATTAGGCTATTCATAGACTGGAGTGAGTGCTGTTTACCAGCTGTGATTTGTCAATGTTTGGTGATTTTCTAGTTATTTTTTGTTGTTCATCTTCAGATGGCAATAACATTTTCTCTATTTTTAACTTTGGCATAATTTTTGGCTCCCTCTCTAGGTGTTAAATGGTTCTTTTTCCTTGGAGCTGGTCAGCGAAAAGTACTGGAAAGTGAATAAGCCCATGGAGCTCTACTATGCACCAACAAAGGAACACAAATAAGCCTTACAAAAGGGCTTTGAGTTGGAACAATAATTGCTTTTATAGCTTTACTTTAAGTTGAAGCACCATCCTCTGCATCATGGACAACTGCACAGAGACTTGGATTCCCCAATGAATATCTTTATTAATTATTAGACAGTATTTTGTGTGATATTTAACTTATATTTTTCTTTCTGGAGAACTGAATGATCAGTACATTCCACTGTTACTGTCGTATGTGTTCTTTTGTTTTGGTGGCTCTTGTTTCATGTGCATGATACTAACAACAGCAAAATTTCTTTGGAACATGGAATGTTGGAGGGCCTTGGATGGGCAGACTTGCTAGCACCTTGATGTATATTGACAAAGGAACTAGAGATGCTATAACTCTTTATGGCACTGTTAGTTACAGACGGTTAAGAGTAGGCCTGCTAGTAACTAACTAGTTCAGATGCTAAAGAAATAGCTGGGGCTGGAAGAAAAGACAGATTGTTCACAGCAGTAACTGAATTCTTTTGCCATGCCCTGTAATGTTGTTCTGCTTTGTAAATAAAAAAGCCACCTCACATGTAACACTCTTCATTCCCAGTGGCTATGGGAATGCAAGCTACTCCTTCTCCTGTTTTCATCATATTTAAGATAAATTATTCTTACCCACTTCACAACATGGTTAAGAGAGCACTAACTATAATACTGTTGCACTGCTTAATTGCAGTTTAAAGAGTGAAGTAGAACTAGCTCTGGGAAAGGACTTTAAGGAATGAGCATACATTTCTGAGGCTGGTTCCAAATTTTGTTAATCACAGTTTATGAAGAGCTGATGTTATAGTCATATTAGCCAGGAAAAAGGGGGGAAAAAAGGGTTGTATTGATACTACTTAAAAAGATAGTAATCACTGGTGCAAATATTGACAAATTTCTCTGAAAATATTCTTAAACTTTCCCATATCAGCTATACTTGGCACTTATGCTATAAATAAATGTGTATTGGAATGATCTTTAATTTTGACTGGATCAAAACTCTGTACTCTTACATATTATAGCATCCGAGTTTCTGTAAATCAGTTATCATCCATGACATTAGAAGACTCATCCATCTGTGTGCCCGATGATGTAAAAAAACCTTCCTTTCACTGAAATGTTATTCAGTACTCTCTTGCAAGTTTTGGATGTGCTAAGAAAAGTAATGGTACAGAAAAGTGTGGGCTTGTAGGGGAAAGTGCATTATCTTCAGTATTTCCCATCTTCTTAGGCTTGTTGGACTACAAATTATGATTTATCGTAAAAGCCAATTACTGTAATTCAAAGTTGAGAGAATGCCTACTCATTCTAATTATTTGATGGTCTTGCAGAAAGAGAAAGCTATTTTACAGTACTCCTTCCAATGTCAGAAGTTCCTAAATTATTTTAACAGTTTGTGTCATGACCGTTCAGAAGTCAAAGTCGGGGGGTGGAGGGGAGGTGTTTCATGCTTACTCAGTTTTGTTCAGTATTTTTGGTGTAATGTACAAACTATATAGCTTGCTAGTGCATGTCCATTAAATATAATCAAGTTTCTTTTTATGTGAAAAAATGGTTTTGTATGGGCAAACATCAGGTGCAGAAAAACTTTGTGACTTATCCAAGAAATTGTTTAGCCCTAGAAGCAGATCAAATATAGCATTCTGAAAAGCTTATCTGTCTAGGGGAGGTACATTGTTCCCAAGTTAGTGGGAAAGAATGTGAATTTTTAACTTCTGTTATGGTGAGTTCTATAAGTATTTATATTTACTTAAATATATAAAGTAGCTGTTTTAATCATTGAATCGCACTGTGACTTTTTAATGGATCAACTACCAGCAGCTTTGAGAAGTTGCCTATACTTACTGCCACATTTTCACAAGCAAGATATTTTGGAAAAGCAGCAATCTTATCTTTAAATTTTATGTCTTTCCTTCCTGGAAAGGGTTCATCAGTAGGTATATACATAAGACATCCCAAAGAGAAATAAGATCTCCCCAGTTCATTTAAATTTCCCTAAAAAGCCCTCTACAGCAGCTTTTCTGCACTATAGCATATGGTGAAACAAGGGCTACAGAACACTGTTGTGCCTTTGATCATCCTATTTTGAGATTCCTCATCATCCGCACAACAGTGAAACTGCAGAAGCACTAAAGGGAAACAATCTGGGGTAACGGGAAGCATCCTCCAACTATCCACAGACAGAAGCAGCAGATTATTCTTCAAGTGAAGATCCAGGATGAGGAGGGACACTGATCGTACAGTATAAATTACCTGTGCTTAATATATTAAGTACCTGTATGAATGTGAGTGTATGCTTAAGTGATTGCTTTCATCCCAGGGGCTATTGGCTATCCCACAGCAATGATAATCTTGATAATCCATTTGGTGATTTGAACAATTCTGATGGAATGTGTGCTATTTTAATTATTAAAAAAATAGGCATTTGGGAAGCTTTCTGAACTTCCTAAAAATGATTTGGAATAATTCTGGAGGCTTTCACATTTGCAGTTCAAGCCAAATGGGCTGTTTTCTGCAGAGATGTTTTTGCACTAAATGAAGTTTGGATTTCCCCCCCCCCCTTTGCAATATTTTCCTATTTTGTTTTTTAAAGTCTTTAGTGCTCCCTTTGAAAGAAGATGATTTATGGAAGTGGTTGTAGTATAATCCAGAGAGAGGTTTCTCCAGAGTTTCTTATCATACTAATTTTTAAAACCAGTTTATCAATTTAAGAATGCCCGTTTTATAGCCAGTCTGCTTGCACATAGTGGCCACCAGCACAAGCATTACTAAGCTAGGTTGTAGTTCTGATCCCTGTCCATTTCAGAGCTAGATAGATGTAGATGTATTTACCTATTGTCAGGAAAAAAAGATGAGGATGAATTCCCTCATCCCATCCCATAAAGACCTTAAACTCTCTAGTAAAAACCCTCTCCTTTAAGGATTTTATTTTTATTTTTCCCTATAAGTTTGAGCTTGGAGTTTCTAAGCCAAATTTTTCAGCTTTTTTCTTTACAAAAATGGCAGGATGACACACAGCAGTAGAAATTTAGTTTGTTTTGCTTATGGTTTCCTCTTAGCTCCATCTTCTGGTCACCTAGCTACTCAATTCACTGTGAACACTGGAAAAAAGGAACTGTTTTTACTATGGTTCCTTCTGATTTTTTCCCCCTTTCATCGCACAAGTATTTATCTATCTGAGGAAGATAACTAAATTCCAAGAAGAGGTACAAGGTTTGAAGGGTACAGCTTTAAATTCAAAATATCAGATAAAGACTATCAGAGTATTTGACATTAATGTACCATTTTTGAAACAAAATCATATTTCAGAAAGTGAAATAGATGCTGTGTGTTCACACTTGAAATAAATGAGGAACTGCACAGTAATTAATCTCTCCGAATAACTTTTGCTACTGTATTAATGATCCTCAAGTTGTTATGACTGTTCTTTGTTAAAAGTCATTTGATAAGAACAACCAATCTTAACCTTGTTCTACTTGAAATGACTACCAAAAGGTAAGTGCTGACCTCACAAAAGAATATAACCTTGAATCACATCTAACATCAAGGGCCGTATTTCACTTATAGAATACAAGCTTCAGGAGCAAATCTGTGTGTGTGTGTTGGGGAGGGGAGAGGAATTAAGAATCTATTTCACTGGAGGCACAGCATCTGCCAGGAACTTCATCCAAATTGTTCAGAAACTATGTAAGTGATGGGTATTTTATAAGCAATAAAAACATTAAAATTCTGACATCTGATACTTTTAACCACAGAAAGCAATTTGTGGCAGGGCCCAGATTCTTAAATTCTCCCCCTTACACTGAAAGAATGTGAGAATTGAACTGCTTTGATTGCAAGATACAGGTTTCTTATTTGGAAGTCAAGTATTTGAGTTCTTAATACTAATGACTTGAGACTCAAAAACAAATGAAAACACTTTATTGGTAGGTACTAGCTGTGCTTACACACATGCTTAATGTCTCTCAATTCCACACTATTATCTTAAAAATATACACCTGAACAAAGAATTACAAGGCAGGGAAAACTGCGTAGTTACCAAATTTAAACGCAAGCATTACATGAAAAAGTTTCCTGCTGAGCTGGGAAGTTAACTGTACATAAGTGATTTCTCATCACATTTTTTTCCCTGAAAAATCTGAAATGTTAAAATAGTTGAACAGTCACATATGTTGAGATGTAGGGCTCAGTTTATGCTCTCAATACAAATCTTCAATAAAACAGCATTACTAGAAGGACCATTTCAAATGCTTTCTTCTGCAAAGTCACCTTCAGTTCCTGCCTGGGCATCCTCAGTAGCCAGCAAAGAGCCATCTGCTTGTCCTCCTGTATATGTAGGAAGGCTGTACTTTACAAGGATAGATTTAAACTGCATCAAGGGGGCATTGGTGCGAACACCCATAGGGTCAAAATGAGTTCGGCTTACACGATAGCCAGCTTGAGACAGAGAATGCAAGAATTTATTTAACCTGGGAGAAAAAGCATAGGCATAAGGTAAGTGGCTTTAGTGCTTGCTCCTCCTAGTTTTCCCACAATTCCAAACCTGTGGGGTAGCTGGGAATACGACTGGCCCCAAGGCACCCAGTGAGGGGAGGCTAGAACCTCAGTCTCCCCCTTCCTTAACCACTACAACACTGTTATATTTTAAAATTGCACTTACTTTGGCATGTTCATTCCTTTAATGCTGTGTCTGTGGACATTATAATAAAAGGCAGGATGCTCAGCGTTACTTTCTAACTTCTGGCGCTTTGCTCCATTTTGGTTAATTTCGGCACTTTTCCTTTTCTCTGGAACAGAGTTAAAGGAACAAAACTTTTTAATGCCTTCACAAATATTTGCTTAGCAAGGGAAATGGTGTATAAAATACAGGTGTCCAAAACAAGTGCATGATTCAGCCAGTAATTAGGTGGTCCATGTCCAGGCTGAAGCACATATTGGTCCAGGCATGGACCTTTTGGCAGAATTGTTCTGGGTGGGAGCAACCCCGAAAAGACAAAGCACTAGGAAAATGGAGAGGGGTGGGTTGGCTGGAGAGGTATGTAGCAGCATTCCATGACCTGCCTGTATTGATCCAGCTGAACTTCAGAGCCACAAGATGTTTGTTTCATGCACAGAAGAAACTACGGTAATTTCATGCATACCTTGTGCAAACCAAAATTAAGGATGCTATCCCAGCGATTCAGATGATCTAAATAGCGTGTTTAATTTTACCATTCAAAGTTCTTATTTCACAAATTAATTGACTCTCTAAACTAAAATATCCTAGATAACCATTGCTGTTTCTGGGTACTACTTTAGATTGACAGCTACCTACCATACACAATGTAGTAATCAGCTGCAGCATCTGACGTCTTAATAAATACACCACACTCTTCTAAAATGCAAGGAAATCATAATCATGATTTGGTCATTATAGGGACAAAATGGCTGGTTAGTGAAACATTCTAATTGGAATGATATAGTAAAAGGACTAAGGGTGTTACTTAGAATAGCATGCACTAATTTGAATAGTTCATACTGAATATTTGTGGGCTGAAATGTTGAAATGTATTTCTACAAATTTCATTGCATTTTCATTTGGGCACACTATGCAGTAAACTAGATTTTGCTAACACTATTTGTCACTATTTTGATGAGGCTACCACAGCTATTTAGAATTGCTCTTTGTAAATGAAATTGCTACTGAAAGAACATAGAATCTCTCTAATATTTAAGAGACAATGAGGGAAAATCCATTTTTTAATCCTGGAACTATGTAATAAATCTTCTGATTTCTGAGGGGCAAGTTATTCTCTGCTATATGCCAAAACTTGGTGCTGTTACTATCTCTAGAATAGATATCAATTGTAATAGATGCTGCAACATTCAACCTAAATTAAAGCCAATACCATTGTGATTATAGTCATTAGTTGTCCCCTAAATCATGGAAGACACTCCACTTTCTCCTTTTAAATAATCAGGGAAACATATAGGATACAATAA